GTGGTATACAAAGTCTCCAGCACCACCACAGTACGGACTTCAATCTTTTCTTTATTTTAACAAGTCACGAGAGTTAAGTCAGCCTGCATTGAACACATGAAGTCAGCAAGTATGGAGGCACAACAATACACAGAGGACCGGCGCTGGCGGCCGAAACGCGGAGACGTGTTTCGACCCCCGGAGTCGCGAAACAGGAGCCGAACCGAGTGCGTCAACCCGCCAATGGACTCCTCGTTCGGAGAACAATCCATTGGTGGGGTCACATTCGGTTCTAGTCCCATGTAGCGACTTGGAAACTCAACTCGTCCGGGATTTTGACCGCGTCCACCGGTCTTCAGGCCCTCTGTGAAAAATGTTCTCAAACGCGTGATTTTCCTACTCTGACAGGGCCGCCGTCCGCGGCGGAGAGTCGGCTGCCCGCCTCGCCATCAGGGCTGGCCAGGGCGCCGCTGGCGTCGGCCGCCGCGTCGCCGACGCTAGTGTCGGTGCTGCGCAGACCGCCGCGTCCGTCGCCGTCGCCACCGGCAAGGGCGTCACCAAGGTCGTCGCCGGCGCCGCCGAGGACGCCATCGACGCCCTGCGAGGCAACCAGGCCTGATCGGCCTGTGCCAAGTGCCACCTGAGTTTGAGCGGCCTGCACACGACAGTCGCCAACTAAATAAATATTGAATCACCTCAATCGTGTCGAAACGCGCTCTTCATGGCGTACCCAAACCGCCAAAGCCGATCTCGTTCCTATGCCAGACATAGGGACCCCCTCCACAGACCTGTTTAGCCTGAAAGACAAGCCCACAATCTTGCGTCAACTCCTGTACGAAGGCAAAATGCGCAATTAAACCAAAAGAATCCCAAACTACCATTGTTGCTCGATACAAATGGTTGGCCCGATAAATACAGTAAAACAGAAAATGTACGCAGAGTCTGTTGCATGGACCTGCTGCCAATAAGGAGATCAATGTGGCCTAAGACTTGTTTGTCTATCCAAGTCACGAATATCACCCGACTGAACAATGTCAGATCCAAAGTAGAACCTTTGGATCTGTTTGCAACATTAGTCTATATCAGATGAAAAGTGCACTTCTGGAAGGATACCCATCTGTCGCAAGGCTTCAAGTCCACTTAAAATACCATGGGGCATTCCAGACCCAATTAGCAGGTCGCGTGGGTGACCACTGCCGATTTCGTTCCTTTTGTGGCTCTCTACAATAAATTAAGTGCAGCCAATAGGATATTGTTATCAGTGGACTTGCCACATTTTGCTCAGAGAGAGTTTGTTGCTTTTGACAAACTGTCATTTTGAAAGCTTCTGTTTGCAGGAATTTTCTTTTGTATGTAGCATTGCCTCTATTTTCAAGAAAAATGAATAAGGAGGAGTATTTTGAGCATTTCAAGTTGTTTGTTGTGGGTGTATCCTTCTGCAATTCTCAAAGTATTTCTTCAGCAGATTTGCAAATTCCTGATAATATGATGTGTAAATTTGTAAAAGATTTTGAAAAGTTGTATGGCATAAGGCACATGTCATTAAATATGCATCTGCTAAGACGAATGAGCAAATCTGAGATAGATTGTGGTCCCTTTTGAAAACCTCAATGGAAAGTTGATGACTCCCATACATGGTTCGAAGGAAGTCCCTCTTCAAATTATGAGATTTATAACCTTTTGACACGGTTGCCTCTTCTCACCAAGAAACTCCCAGCAGGTCAAGCCAAAACCTTTTGTGAAAAGTTGTTTCAGAAACACAGACGGCTGAAAAAGAATAAGCGCATCAATAGTGATGCATTTACAGTTACCTACAAACCACCTAAAGAAAAAATACTTGATGAAAAAAATGTACTAGAGCGATTCTCACGTTTCGGGGTAGTTTTGGCGTCTCTGATTTGCCGAAAGTGAGAAATATCCAATTAAGTTGTTCTGATTATTGGGGTCCTGGATGATACTAGAGTTATGGCAATGGTATTTATAGTAAAGACCTTGTACTACCTTCCTAAAAACATGAGCCATAAGGTTTTCCCCAAACTTTTTAAGTGGGTGTTTTGATCACGGAAATTACGTTATCACGGAAGTTACAAAGTGTGAAAATCGGCTTTAACGGTTTGACTCGGGCTTGCTGTGGCTTAAAAGTCGTGCCAGGGTCAAATGATACTCTAAGCCCGACATTTAAGGGGAAAATTTTTTCACCTAGTGCTGCTGCAACATTGGGTAAAGGGTGCCAGGGAAAAGTTACAGGTAATTGTTGATACACGCCATTTTATAATGCTCTAGCCCGCTTTGAGACCGTGTACAGCATCTTAGATTTCCGCGACCCATGCAATTATATCCCAGGGACTCCACTTTGATGGCTTGTGTCGTGGAAAGTTAAAAGTTTGGTTTGGGGGAAAGTCCAGAGCTGCCTTTTCGAAATTTTGTAGTGAAATTGAATATACGGAGGACATTTTTCGTTGCAGCATAAGTACCTTTGAAAGAAGTCTGGCGTTTTGGTCTTCGGTTGAAATCAGCTCGAGACATGCCAAGCTTCGAATCCCCATCGACAGTTGGCAGCATTTTCGAACCCCACCGCCACACTGGGGGCGGGAAGTTCGAGTATGTTCTCTTTGGACAATCACGGAAGTTACATTTGGGGTATTCCAAACGCTACGTAGACCAATCCAACGAACGTGAATTTTTTCGAAATGTGTGCGTTTAGTGGGCAATGGCCCTCCCTAACATCGGAAACAAACCCCATGTCGATATCTGCGCTCGTTTGGGCACAGAGTCAGAAGAAACGAAACTACCCCGAAACGTGAGAATCGCTCACTACTTTTCTAAAAGTTATACCAGCATGGAATGTTGTTTGTGTCTGAATCTTATGAGAGTGGGTCAGAGTCTCATCACATTGAAGTACAAACATGGCAACTGTCGCCATTTTGGTAGAATTGAAAGATTTTTCAAGGACAGTTCTGAATTGTGTGAAGACTCATGTAGTGTTTCATGCACAGTAAGTTCTATGCTGTAACACAGATGTTTCATGTTGAGCCAGCTTTTTTTTGTTACAGATGTGTATGAAAGTGCCACATCAAGAAATATATTCGCTTGCTCAAAATGTTTTCCGCCTTGTTAACGTGAAATCCTTGGCTTCTGTTTGTTTTCATATTGCAATTTAAAAACCCGTCTGTCATTTGTGAGCCTCTTAAGGGGGGACATCACTCCAAAAAGATCAAAAAATTTCAACTTTTTTTTATTAGTTTATATTATAGACCATTCCTTTCTGCGTCGAATGGTGAAAACCGATTCCGGAATACAAAAAATTGCAGTTTTAGTAGGTTGTGCGCCGCAAACATGCATAGGGGAAAAGCCCAGTTTCCCCAACTTTGATCGCGTTTTTCTCGGAACATGAAATTGCAAACGGTTGCAGGCCTCTAGGGCGCAGTTTTTGAGCTACAGCGGGGAGATTTAGCATGGAAGCTCCTTCGACATGCCGCCATGGTGGGGAGCAAAATATTTTGATTTGGTCAATTTTTATTATTTTTTTAACGTTCAAAATTGAACAATTTTGACCCAAAAAATTGAACAATTTTTTTGGCATGTAACAAAATTTAACTTTAAATGATTTTTGAAATGTGATTGAGGTACCCACCATAGCCAGAGATATCTCAGGAAGGGTGTCACCAAAATTTTAATGTTCTAGGTCAAACCGTTTGGCGTCCAGCGCTGCAACCGTGCGAAATGGTCTAACCTAACACTCAAAAATGTGTTTTCAACGAAAGCGCTGTACTGCCCTGGCGGATTGACTTAGTGTTGTTTTATGCTTTATCTGTTAAATATGAACAATTTTCCCCTTTCCGTTTGGTTTTTTTTGACGTTTTTACAAAAGCACTGTTTTTGGAGTGATGTCCCCCCTTAATTCTTTTGAACTTGAATAAAACGTGAGAAGTGATAGCTAAATGCCATGTGTTTAAGAACATCCATCCATCTATCTAGCCGCCGTTCTGGCCGGTGAAAGTGTCTTTTATGTATCTTTTGTGTTTTTTTTTTCGGCCAAAAAGATAGATAAAAGGCAATTCAAAGACAGCTGGAAGACAGCCAAAATATACATTGAGGTGACTTCTTTCTATCTTGTGTGTATCTGTCGCCAGACTTCCTGCTAACTTTTTCGAAAAGATAGAAAAAAGACGAATCTAGTGCTCCAGTTCTACGCGGGCAGAAGCTTGCTTGGAGATGTGCTCATGAACGAGCATCTGAAGGAAGAATATGATATGAAGTAAGGTTTTTTGGTGTATTTTTATTAATTTTACAAACCATTGATGCGCTTAATTGGCCACTAAAATAATTGTATTTTAGGTTCTTACGAAATGGGAAATTTACTTGGCAACATAAAAGTGCAATTATTTCCAACAGATGTCAAGGTAAAGAATCTTCTAGTTTTTATTTTGGACTTAATTTTTTGGTAGATGGACTATCATTCACATTAGTTTTTATTTTTCTGTTGCAGTCTGCAGGCTTCTCCCACTCCTGGTGGTAGGGATAGTGTTGACGTGTATGTTGTTGGCCACAAAATTTTGGCCACAAAAGGGTCATCTTAAATGAACGAGCTATAGAAAACGAAAAGTTCTAAAAAATAGGCAAAATATTAAAATTATGAGCTCCACGCTGACCCAAAGTGAAAAGAGGAAAAAAGGGAGAGTGCCTTAAGTCCAAAAAAGTCTAGAAAACAGGCCCAAAAGAAAGAAAAACAAACCATTAAATAGACCGAAAAAAAGACCTGTTGCTCACATGCGTTGAGGTCTCCAGAACATCGGAGTGCGAACCAAAGCGATCGGTCGACTTTGGGCGGCTATTCCTCGGCCGTCTTGCTGCACAAAATTCCGAATTCGATGCTAACGAGTAATTTAGCACCCAAGTTGATGAAATTTTACCAGCGACGAGTTTTGTGCAGCAAGGTATTCTATGTGGCTGGCCCCAAACTTGCGACAAATGCACATCGCGCAGCATGATGCAGCGACATTCATTTATTTTGCAGCAAGATCGAGCGAATCCGGGCGGCTATTCCTCAGCCGTCTTGCTGCACAAAATTGTGAATTCGATGCAAACGAGTACTTTAGTACCCAAATTTATGAAATTTTACGAGCCCCGAGTTTTGTGCAGCAATAAATTCTGTGTGGCTAGCCCCGAACCTGCGACATATGCTCATCACGCAGCACGATGCAGCGACTTATGGCGCTATTCCTCAGCCGTCTTGCTGCACAAAATTCTGATTCGATGCTAACGAGTACTTTACCACCCAATTGATAAAATTTACCAGCCGCGGTTATGTGCAGCAAGAAATTCTGTGTGGCTGGCCCCAAACTTGCGACATATGCACATCGCGCAGCGCGTTGCAGCGACTTCGGGCGGCTATTCTTTAGCTGTCTTGCTGCACAAAATTCCGAATTGAACGCCAACGAGTACTTTACCACCCAAATTGATGAAATTTTACCAGTTGCGAGTTTTGTGCAGCAAGAAATTCCGTGTGGCTGGCCCCGAACTTGCGACATTTGCACATCACAGAGCACGATCCCGACATTCACTTATTTTGCAGCGCGATCCAGCGACTTTGAGCGGCTTTCCCAGCTGTGTTGCTGCACAAAACTCCGAATTGAACGCCAACGAGTACTTTACCACCCAAATTGATGACATTTTACCATCCCCGAGTTTTGTGCAGCAAGAAATTCTGTGTGGCTGGCCCCAAACTTGCGACGTATGCACATCGCGCAGCGCGTTGCAGCGACTTCGGGCGGCTATTCTTTAGCTGTCTTGCTGCACAAAATTCCGAATTGAACGCCAACGAGTACTTTACCACCCAAATTGATGAAAATTTACCAGCCGCGAGTTATGTGCAGCAAGAAATTCTGTGTGGCTGGCCCCAAACTTGCGACATATGCACATCGCGCAGCGCGTTGCAGCGGCTTCGGGCGGCTATTCTTTAGCTGTCTTGCTGCACAAAATTCCGAATTGAACGCCAACGAGTACTTTACTACCCAAATTGATGAAACTTTACCATCCCCGAGTTTTGTGCAGCAAGAATTCTGTGTGGCTGGCCCCGAACCTGCGATATATGCACATCACGCAGCACGATTCGGCGACTTTGGGCGCCTATTCCTCAGCCGTCTTGCTGCACAATATTCCGCATTGAACGCCAACGACTACTTTACTACCCAAATTGATGAAAATTAACCAGCCGCGAGTTTTTTGCAGCAAGAAATTCCGTTTGGCTGGCCCCGAACTTGCGACATTTGCACATCACAGAGCACGATCCAGCGACATTCAATTATTTTGCAGCGCGATCCAGCGACTTTGAGCGGCTATTCCTCAGCTGTGTTGCTGCACAAATTCCGAATTGAACGCCAACGAGTACTTTACCACCCAAATATAAACATTTACCATCCCAGAGTTTTGTGCAGCAAGAAATTCTGTGTGGCTGGCCCCGGACCTGCGACTATGCACATCACGCTGCACGATCCGGCGACTTCAGGCGCCTTTTCCTCAGCCGTTCTGCTGCGCGAAAATTCCGAATTGAACGCCAACGAGTTCTTTACCACCCAAATTGATGAAATTTTACCATCCCCCAGTTTTGTGCAGCAAGAAATTCTGTGTGGCTGGCCCCGAACCTGCGACATATGCACATCACGCAGCACGATGCAGCGACTTAAGGCGGCTATTCCTCAGCCGTCTTGCTGCACAAAATTCTGAATTCGATTGCTAACGAGTACTTTACCACCCAAATTGATAAAAATTTACCAGCCGCGAGTTTTGTGCAGCACGAAATTCTGGGTGGCTGGCCCCAAACTTGCGACATATGCACATCGCGCAGCGCGATGCAGCGACTTTGGGCGGCTATTCCTCAGCTGTCTTGCTGCACAAAATTCCGAATTGAAAGCCAACGAGTACTTTCCACCCAAATTGATGAAAATTTTTCCAGCCGCGAGTTATGTGCAGCAAGAAATTCTGTGTGGCTGGCCCCAAACTTGCGACATATGCACATCGCGCAGCGCTTTGCAGCGACTTCGGGCGGCTATTCTTTAGCTGTCTTGCTGCACAAAATTCCGAATTGAACGCCAACGAGTACTTTCCACACCAAATTGATGAAATTTTACCAGTTGCGAGTTTTGTGCAGCAAGAAATTCCGTGTGGCTGGCCCCGAACTTGCGACATTTGCACATCACAGAGCACGATCCAGCAACATTCACTTATTTTGCAGCGCGATCCAGCGACTTTGAGCGGCCATTCCTCCTGTGTTGCTGCACAAAATTCCGAATTGAACGCCAACGAGTACTTTACGACCCAAATTGATGAAAATTTACCAGCCGCGAGTTATGTGCAGCAAGAAATTCTGTGTGGCTGGCCCAAACTTGCGACATATGCACATCGCGCAGCGCGTTGCAGCGACTTCGGGCGGCTATTCTTTAGCTGTCTTGCTGCACAAAATTCCGAATTGAACGCCAACGAGTACTTGGCTACCCAAATGATGAAACTTTACCATCCCCGAGTTTTGTGCAGCAAGAAATTCTGTGTGGCTGGCCCCGAACCTGCGATATATGCACATCACGCAGCACGATTCGGTGACTTTGGGCGCCTATTCCTCAGCCGTCTTGCTGCACAATATTCCGCATTGAACGCCAACGAGTACTTTACCAACCAAATTGATGAAAATTTACCAGCCGCGAGTTTTGTGCAGCAAGAAATTCCGTGTGGCTGGACCCGAACTTGCGACATTTGCATATCACGAAGCACGATCCAGCGACATTCACTTATTTTGCAGCGCGATCCAGCGACTTTGAGCGGCTATTCCCCAGCTGTGTTGCTGCACAAAATTCCGAATTAAACGCCAACGAGTACTGTACCACCCAAATATATGAAAATTAACCAGCCGCGAGTTTTTTGCAGCAAGAAATTCCGTTTGGCTGGCCCCGAACTTGCGACATTTGCATATCACGAAGCATGATCCAGCGACATTCACTTATTTTGCAGCGCGATCCAGCGACTTTGAGCGGCTATTCCTCAGCTGTGTTGCTGCACAAAATTCCGAATTGAACGCCAACGAGTACTTTACCACCCAAATTGATAAAAATTTACCATCCCAGAGTTTTGTGCAGCAAGAAAT